GCGCGCCGGGCCCCACGCCCGAAAGTGCCGTAAACTTTGGGGTCATCCGCGGGCACCCCGCGCCGATTGTCCCTCTGGGGTCACGTACCGCGCACGGAGCCAGGCGCCGCCGGAAGGCGCGGCGTGGGCGGCTGCAGCGGTGTCCGCAGGCTCCGGGCGCGCCGGGACCGAGCGTCTAGGTCTGCGGGCAGAGCCTCCTGAGCCCGCCGCGAGGGCTCGGATCCTCCTCGGGGCTCGGCTCGGGCTCCTCCCTGCCCTCTCTGGAAAGCGAGGTTCCCTGGACCAGGAGAAACTGAGCCGGACCTGTTTGGGGATTAGAGGACCGGATGCAGGGCGTGGGAGAGGAGAGCGCCAGCTGCGGGGGCGACGCAGAGGGCCGGCGAGGCTCGGGCTCCCTGGGCACGGCCCCTCGCCGTGACCTTCTTCCACTCTCGCGTTCGCCGGAGACTGTGGGCCGCGTCCCTGTGGCTGCCAAGGACGCGGAGCAGGCTGCGTCCTGTCCTCAGGCCCTGGCTCACTGCTGCTCAGGGAAGGCAGCCTGGGCGCCTGGAACACGCAGCTCTGTCTCCCAACAAGTCCAGGCATCTGAGGACTATTTTGCTAAGGATTTCAAAATTCTATTTTGAAAGTCGTAAGCTTGACTTCTTTTATCTTTGCTTTTTATTTTGAAAAATGTAAACATACAAACGTAAGAAAATAGTACAAGAAGTCTCTCTCAGCCCATCATCACCTTGCGACATAACCAGGTCATGACCAGTCATGCTTTATACTTTTTTTCATACCAGCATCTTTAGCAAACCTCAGCCTTCACCTTTTCTCATCCATAAATATTTACAGAAGGCAAAGTAGCTTTCAACCACTACTAGGCGTGTGTGGGAAAGACTCAGGAAGCGATCCCAAAGGGTTCCTGTGGACCAAAGATGGGCCAATTAAAGCATATAGAAAACAGATAATTGCAGCTCTTCCCAAGCCATCAAATTCTGTTCATAGTGTTTCCAAAACAACTCAACAAGTAGGTAACTGTTGATGGGAGGATCCAGTAATTTTTTTTTTCAAACCCTGCTTTAGGAAACAAAACAACTCTGCATTTATTTTTAGTTTCAATATACATTGGACCTGAGGGGTTTTTTTGTTGGGTTTTTGTTTTGTTTTGTTTTTGTATTTTGGGAAAGGGTCTGTTTGTGCACATCAGGCTAGCCTTGAGCTCACTGTTGCAGCCCAGGCTGGCCTCAGGCTTACAGGGAGATCCTCCCTGCCCCAGCCTCGTGAGTGCTGGGATTAGAGGCATGTGCCAGCCTGAGGTCCTTCTTTAGGTGTTACTCTTACCCTGCCTTTGTCTTTTCTTTCCTGGGTTAACAATATGAATCTATTTAAGAGAAAGAGTTCTTTGGGTGCCTAGGGGAAAGTAAGATATCTTGTATGAGGTTCTGCTTAAAAGAAAATGATTCTATTTTTACAAAATTTTACCTGTAATCACATCATACTGTCTCCTATCTGAATTTTTCTCAACCTCGTTCTACTCATTCCAAGCCAGGTAAGACTCCAGTCTCCATTTGCTGGGAAGAGGAATGAGGTCGAGATGAAGAGGGCAACCATGGAATGCAAAGAGCTCAGGGACTGGCCAGTTAGGTTGCTTGGAGCTTGCCTTTGGCCGTTAGTGACTAACGAAACTAGACAAATTTTTCTCGTGTAGGTGGTCTGAAATCACTGTTCAGCTAAGAGTTTGCACAACAGCTTCATGACGCTTCCGAGAACCCAGATCTTTTGAAGTGTCTTCTTAATGCAAGGCTTTTGTCCTTGGGGCTACGAATAGTTGCCTCTTTTAGGTATCACATCTGTGTTTCCGTGTAGGAAGGAGAGAAAGATTCAAGGGTGGAAGGCAAAACACTTCCTTGCTCTTTTGTTTAGGAGGAGATGCTGTCAAAACTTCCTGGTCACAGCTTGGTCACTTGGTCACCCCTAGTTGCGGGGGAGATACAAAGAGCATCTTAACTGGACTCACAATCACCTCTTAGAATATCAGGACCTTCTTAGTAATAGAGAACGGGAAAGAAGTGTCAAAGGAGCAACTAGCAGTTTTAAAACATCTTAATGAGTTCTACACTGCGCTGAAGTTGATCAAGAACACGGCAACCAAAGGCTGGCAGCACCGCCACTGTAGTACGGAGGGGTGTATGGGCTGCAGCTCGTCCAGTCACACACCCTTGAGGCAGGAGAACTGAAGAACACCTGGAGGTTTCCCAGATCCACACACCTTGTCACCTAGCCAGAAAGCACAGGCAGCTACGTGAGCAGATGGAGTGCCACCAGGTAATGAGTTCTGAACGGAGGCATCAACCAACCAAGGTCTTTACTAAGACCCTTAACTAATCAATGGGTCTCTTTGCATACCTTGTTATTAAGAAGTAAACTTTTTTTTAACGGAGGTTATATATTCATTGAGAGAAAGAAAGCTCCTGTCCTAGAGAGGGACAGGAGGGGGCCGATCGGGTAGTTCCCCTCTTTTGTTGCTTTATATATCTGCATAAACATAAATATTAGCATCATACTGGATGATTTTTTGGATGCTTGGTTGAACATAGAGTTTGTGGAGTTATTGGTAATTACAGGTTGAGTATGGTGGGTTCTTTAATTCTGGTGAGGAGCCATTCAAAAATTAACAAAG